TCCCCATATCTAAAAGCATTTTTCCAGCTCCTTTCCCCCTCCACATGTCTGCATTACCATCCAGTGGGACTAGAGTACCAAACTGAGCCATCCAGGGAGTTAATCCATGAATTTCAGCACTTTATAGGTCCTGAGAGTGTTTGCCCCATAAAACATCTTCCAGCTCAAACCAAACATCAGAAATTCACATCTAAGTAAGTGAGCAATGGTTTAGCTCATCCCTTCTTAGCAAAAGCATGGCTTCTCAAGAAGGAAGGTTTCACCTGGGATCTGAAGCCTTGTGTGAATGTGCCTGAGGGAATTGCTCCTGGCCTGTTTGGTATCAGTGGATCCATGGGTGTTTGCAGCAGAAGATTCCTGTGTGTCCATTCCAGCCCCACTCCCAGTCAGTGACAAAGGACAAAGCTGTCCTAACAGGAGGGGAGAGTCAGGGAGCTGTCCTCTTACCCTTCAAAGGGCAGTGATTGAACACTACAATCCGTTCTTTTATTACCCAAACACTGCCCAGGAAGGGAAATAATATCTAAAGCACTAGGAAGATGGCAAGGAACAACAACAACAACAAAAAATTAAATTGGCTCTGTTTTCTTGAGGTTTCCCCTCAGGCCCTTTAGCACAGCAGACATTACCACTGGTTTAGTAGCAGCAGTGGGGAGTACACCTTGACAGCAGCAGAGCAGTGTTTTAGAGTATTTTCTCTTCTTTAGATGAAAAGACAGGCTTTTGGATTCAGGTTAAAAAAAAAAGTATTCATCCTGCTAAGTAGATTGAAAGAGAATCCAGATTAAATAAATCATTAAATCATTCCAGAATGTTATCCACCTGTTCTGGCCGGTAATTTATTTTCAGATGAACAGTAGGTAAAAAAAAAAAAGCAATACAATGGCAAAAATAATTTTCCTCTAACAGATGCTTTGATCCTGAAATGACACCTGGCCTGGGCAGCTGCTTGTGCAGTTTTTGAGATCATTTTGAACTAATTGCTCCAACCCACTGCTCCATAGCCTCAACAGCCACATCAAGCTAAAACTTCTGTGGCAGCCACCTTTGAAAAGGGATCTTCAAGGGGTTTGCTGCTGCAAAGGCAGTAAAATCTGTCCCTTTATTGTGGGATGGGAAACCTGTAGGGGAACAGGACAACAGGCAAATACCAGCCAGGATCTGGGGGTGAGGGGTCTAGACCATTTCAGTGCCAGGGCTGTTCTCCTCATATGCTTCTGCAGCAGCAAAGGAAGGGTTTGCCTCTCTTGTGTTCCTGAAAGGAGGACTGTGCTTCAAAGGTTGGCAAGCACCCTAGCTGGTTATGTATTGCCCAGACTTCCTCACAACTCAGAAATGGTTCCCTGTCCTCTCCAGGAGAGTGCCAGTGTTGTGCTGCCCACGTTGGCTGGGGATGGCAGGGAGGGGAGGTGACCAAGGACCTGAGATGGAGGACAGCAGCCAGTGCTGGCAGTTCGGGGAAGGTGCTGAAGGATGGTGATTGTCCCGCTCTCCCACACCTCCTCTGGCTCAGATAGAGCTGAAGGCAGCTGCAGTCCAAGACCCCAATCTCCTGTCTCTCCAGTGTATATTTAAACAGATTTAGCCAGCTTGTTTGGCAGTTTTTGGATGGATTCTCCCAATTGCTGAATGCAACAACGATGAAGCAGGGGAAAGGAGGGGGACGGGGGCAGAAACCCTGAGCCAGGGGTGTGTGGAGGAAGCAGCGGCTGCCCGCAGCCTCGGCCCGCACTTTTCGGGGCTTGCTCCGTTCCTGACGACCTGCAGCTCGGGGCACTCGGTGGCGGCCCCAGCCCGGCTGTGCCTCACCTGGGGCCGGGCGGCAGGGCCGCTGTCCCCGCGGGGAGCGGGCCGGGCGCGGGGGTCACCGCGGGGGCGCAGGAAGAGCCGGGGGTGCCCGGGGAGCCGCGCCGTCTCGGCCGCACAAAGCCGCCTTTTCATCGCGGCCTCCTGCCCCCGCCGGGCCCGTAATTGTCTTTGACAAAACTTCATTAGCGAGCGCGGCGGAGGCGGCGGCGGCCTCGCGGTCGCGCTGGCTTTGAGCGGGCGCACTGGAGTGTGCGCGGCCCCGCCGCTCCCGCCCGGGGCCATTAACCCGGCGACTTTGTTTTAGAAACTTCCCACCCCAGCGGGGGACGCGACAGCGAGCCGCCCCCGGCCGCCCCCGCGGCCGCTAATTGGGGGGCGATGCGGGGCTGCGGGGCTGCTGCCAGCGCGTCCCCGCGGCTGCGGAGAGGGAGAGACCCGGCCCTGGGGAGCCAGGAGGGGTGCCGGGAGGGCTGGGGGGTGTGTGTGTGTGTCTGTGTGTGTGTGTGCGCGTATGTGTGTGTGTGTGTGTGTGTGTGTGTGTGTGTGTGTGTGTGAGCGCTGCTGCCGTGCCCCGGCTCCGGGGGGCTTCACCTGGCGCGCCCGGCTCCCGTCCCGCCCCGGCCCCATCTCCCCGAGCCCGCCCGGCATAGCCCCGCTGCCCCCGCTCCGCCGGACAAGCCGGGTTCAATTCCCAGAGGAGCGGCATTAAAAAGCCCATCTCGTAGCAAAGCTCAGACAGAGACGGTTTAAATACGTTTATTATGGCATTGGAGGCGCTGAATCTGTTCGTGCGAGCCCGTTATTTTAGTTTTGTGCCTGGGCGCACGCAGGCTCCGCTGCCGGTATTAGTTCTCCATCAATCCCCGCTCTGGTTTTTAATCAAAACAGTATTCGGAATATGATTCCCGGAGATTATATTTTGAGAGATTTGCGATACATATCTTGCCGGCGTGACAGATTGCAAGGGGAGTCCTGAGCGGGCGGGATAATCTGCATCTCGCTCACTTGACCTTTAATAAAAGGGGAGTAAAAGTAATAAATAAAAAATAAAAGTCTTAAGACTCCTGCAGGTTACCTCCGTGCCTGCCTTAAAGGGACCACCAGGCCCGCACCCGCCTAATTAATTCCCTCTCCCAGCGGGTTTCGCGGCTCTTTGGCGGCCAGGGCAGAGGAACCGGGGGATTGCGGGGCCGGGGCAGAGCCGGCAGCTCCGGGGAGCTCCGGGCCGCCCCGGGGGCCGTGCAGGTTTCGTGTCCCGTGAGCAGCTCGGGAGGGCGATGCAGGGCTGCCTCCCCGGGGAGCCTCCAGCAAAGCCGCGGGAAGCGAAACCGGAGGAAACCGGGTCGCTCCCCGGCGGGACGGGACAGAGCCGGGAGGGAGGCCCAGCCCGGCTCTGCCGTGCGGACACGCGTGGGAAGCCTGCCCATGTGCTCCCAAGGCAGATAATACCTGTCCTCTCCGGTGGGCGGAAAAGTCGCCTTGCAAGAACCCTTCGAAAGGGCCTAATGCTCTTTATTACAAGCCCTAATCCTTCAAATCCGACTTGAAATAATGTTTATCTTTTCGCAGCTTAATTTCCCCTTCTCTAAGCTTCGGGTCACTGCAACAGACTGCTGCTGCTGCTGCTGCTGCACCGCCTCTTGTCCAGGGAGTGCGGGAAAGCCCCATGGCCGGGCAGCATCTCCGGCGGGGCGCCCCACGGGCCCTCACCTGCTGCCCTCGTGTGCCCTCACCTTCCCCTCCCTTTCCCCCCCGGATTCTCCAGAGCCCGACAAAGTTTGCCTTCTTTCCCAGTGCCCTCTGCTCCCGGGAAGGGCCGCGGCTGACGCTGGGGGCAGCCCCCTCACGTCTCCCTGCTTTGACCTGCAGCTCCTCCTTTCCCCTACGAATTGCTTCTCCCGTCGCAAACCCAGGGGGCTCCCAGTCATGCAGCCCCACTCGTCTTGAGTAGCCTTTAGTAAACATATAGAAGTCTACTCGATATTCAAGATTGATTTCCCTGATTTATTAAGGCAGAATTCATTGGACTCTATTGACCACAAATGACTTAATGTAAATGCTGACCCCGGTGAACTTGGAAATAGCAGGTATCGGGTTGATCTATAGATGACCTCTTAATTACCACAGTTATTAATTTAAATTATTGCCACTGCTTCTAGAGACAGGAACAAAGAAACATTCTTTCCTCATCCCTGCTTGGTTTATTAGTCCGAACACAAAGTGTTTGATGACACTTTTAATTAAACAGAAATAATGCAGAGATACGGTTTCCCTTTCTCGTCTGTCCTGTAAAGTGCAGCACTGCTCTTTTGACTGACTGACGGCGGTGACCCACTAACAACGTCCTACTTCGCCGCCCGCTGCCCGGGGGTGCCCCGGCCGTGCCCCGGGGCGGGCGGCGGTGCCCGGGGCCGCTCCTCCCGGGCTGTGCCGGCTCCTGCCTGGGGAGCTCCGAGGTCATCGGCGGCTTCGTGGCTTTCAGCTCACCCGTGTTAATTAGACTCCGAAAAATTCTTTCAGCGGTATCTATGTACAGAGACGGGGAAGAAACAGTCCGGCGTAACCTGCGCCGCTTCTCCTCCTCCTCCTCCCCGGGAGCGACTGCGAAGTGGTGCCCCTTGGCAGAGCAGGGCGCTGAGCAGAGAGCGCGGGTTTGGGAGGAAAAGGAGAAACAAACCACGACGTGGGGGGGAAAGAGAAAATATTAGGGTGGGGATTTTTCTTCCTTTTTGCAAAGACGTCAATGGGCAATATTGAACACATGGCAGGCGAGCGGCGGGGAGGCGCCGGTCCTGCGGCCGCTCCGCCCGCCGCGGCCCCGGGCCCATGTGCGCAGCACGTTGTGCCGCGGCGGCCCTTCCCCGGTGAGGGCAGGGCGGAGCTGCGAGGCCGCCGCCGGCCCGGGGACAGGTTTCTTTCGTTCCGTCAGGCCGAGCGCTTCCTTACAGCCGGAGCCCCGTCGCCAGCGCCCGGGATGGGGCGGGCGGCCCTGCGGGACGGAGAAGCGGTGATGAGCTGGCGCTGAGTGCCGCGAGTCGCTGCCCCGCCCGGACGGGAGCTCCGGGAGCGGGGCAAGGCGGCGGCCGTGGCGCAGCGCTCTCAGGCCGGGGCCGCTGCGGTGTCCCAGGGCCAGGCGGACGGGAGTGCGCTTCGTGCGAGGCGGGGCCCCGGCGGCCGGCCCGTCACCTACCTCACCTCCGCAGCACGGGCCGGAACGCCGTCCGCAGCCTGTCCAGGCACGTCCCACCCAGCTCGGTGCCTCCCGGGCCGCCCTTGGCGCCCCGCCCGAAGCCTGCACAGACACAAGCGGCTCGCGGTGGGCACGGCCCGCTCCCGCCGCCCTCCCCTGCCCGCTCGCCTGGAGCGGGGAAGCCTCGGCGTCTGCACCTGACACCTGGGCACGGCCGAGCACCGGGGCTGTCGCTGCGCGGGCGGGCTCACGCCGCGCCCTGCGTCCCGGCCCGGCCCGCGGTCCCGCCCGTCCCCGCGGCCCCGCCGCCGCGGGTACCTTCGCCCGCCGCCGCGAACTGGCACGGCTCCCCCAGGCCGCGGTGGGACGCGCAGCTCCGCGGGAGCGGCTGCAGGCTGAAAGCGGAGCTCCGGAAGGCCTTGGCGGGCAGGGGCTGCTCCCCCGCCGCGCCGCCGCCTCCCTCCGCGCCGCGGCCCTCGGGGCTGCCCCTGCGCGCCGCGCTGGCCCCGGCCGTGCGCGCCAGAGACCAGATGCGCGGCTTCTCCGCGGGCGCGTAGGGCGGCGGCGGGCCGGCCAAGGAGGCGGGGGCGAAGCCCGCGGCGGGGGCCTTGGCACAAGGAAAGGCGTGGAAGGGGCCGGGCAGGCTGCAGTCGCTCCGCGGAGCCTCGGGCAGCGCCGCGCCCAGGCTGGGCGCTTCCTGCAGGGAGCTGGTCCGGCCCTTCTCCGGCTTCCCCGCCTCCTCCTCCTCCTCCTCCTCTTCCTCCTCCTCCAGGTCGCTGAACCGCAGGTCCTTGTCCTCCTTGTAGCTCTTCTGCTCTGCTTGGATACACACGGGGAAAAAGGGGCGGCAGGGCGTTAGTGAGGGTGCGGGGAAGTTGGGGGGCCTCGAAATCACTTCGAGCCTACTTGGAGGCGCCTGTCTGCCTCTCCCGCCTACCTCTGCCTTCACCCTCCGCACTGTATTCATCCTCTTCCCTCGGGGTTCCTTCTTTCCTCTCTTCCCCGGCTTTGTTCTTGGGAGACCAGGTCATTTTGTTTTCTTTCTTAAGCCTCCGTCTGGCGTTAGCAAACCAAGTGGACACTTGCGTCAGGGTCATTTTAGTGATGATAGCCAGCATGATTTTCTCTCCTTTGGTGGGGTAGGGGTTTTTGCGGTGCTCGTACAGCCAGGTCTTGAGAGTACTCGTCGTCTCTCGCGTTGCATTTTTGCGTCTGGCTGAACCACCGAAATCCACCGTCCCGTACCTGCTGGGAGATGATTAAGGGATGGAGGGCCGGCGGGAGTCCGGCAAGAATCCCCCGGCCCGGCCCAGCCGCGCCGCAGGCCGGTGTGGCCCCTGCCCACCTGCCTTCCTGCCCCTGCCCTCCTGACATCGCCGCCCAACTTTGGTTTCGGCTGTCTGCTGCTCCCGGGCGCCTCGTTTCTTTTGTACAACGTTTGTCAGGTCGGAGCCCCCCCGTCCCCCTCGTTTGATGTCGACCGCCGCCTCGCAGGGGGATGCTAATGCTGCCGGGCGCTGATCAAAGGGGTTTTACCTGTCGTACTGGTACTGCCCCAAGGAATGATCGTAGGAGTAGTAGGTAGCGGGCTGCGCGATTCCCGAGTGCAACGTGCCGGCGCCGTCTTTGATTTCATACTGGGGATTCTGCAAGGGAAGCGGCGGCGTTTGGCGTCCAGCAGAGCCCCGCACAGCCCCGGCTCCCCGCGGCAGCCGCGTCCCTCCGCGCCCCCCATCCCCGACGGGCCGGCCCCGCTCCCACTCCCCCGCCGCGGTACCGACTGCGAACCGCGAAGTTTCTCCCGCCTGTTGCACCCCGTCCTCCCCTGCGGGCCACTCACCAGCGCGGTGTAGAGCGCGGCGGGCTCGGCGCCGTAGGGCAGGTAGTTGCCGTAGCCCTGGCCGGCGGCGTACGGGGCGCTGTACATGCCCAGCGCCGCATTGAGCTCGGCGCGGCCGGGCGCCAGCAGCCGGCTCTCGTACGGGGCGCAGCACAGCGAGGCGGCGGCCGGCGCCGAGGAGGCATCCGGCCCGGAGCGGGGGGCGGCCTCGCAGCAGGTCGTGCTGGGGCTGGCGGGCACGAAGAACTGCGGAGAGGAGAGAGCGGGACGGCGCCGAGTGACTGTCGAGGCAGCCCCATCGGGGGGAATTTAGGAGCGTGTGCGCGCCTGTGTGTGTGCGGAGAGAGGGGGCGGTGAGGAGGGGGATAGGAAACGCGGGCTGGAGCAACTAATTATAGAAACCGGGAAATAAACCGGATGGGAAGCAGGAGCTCTTGGGAAGGGGGCACGATTAATCAAGCAGGCAAAACTTTAAGGAAATAATTGCTCTCGAGAAAGGTATAAGATCCGTAAGGCTCCGTCCTTCCCGCCCCCGCTCGGTCCATCTGCATTGATTTAAAGGCAAAAAGTTGCGATTACAGTTAATTTGACAATAGACACAGCAGTAAATATGTCAGCCAACGCAATCGAAGGCATTTGATTTCAATAACTTCAAGGGGACAGCTAACTTCCCAAGCGAGAGAGGCACATCTTGCAGTGATTACCGTGTATAAATAATTCTACCCAAATAAATCCTGACTCCGAGTACGATACAGCTACGACTTAGTTAATACAGGGTGCCTTGGTGTGAGTGGGGGATGTCCTTCGGAAATCGCATGGGGGAAAAAAAAACCTCTCGACAGATCCTAATAAAACACAGGAAAAGGACCGACCCGTGGAGGAAGGAGGGAGCAATCGGCACAGCCCGGTTCCGCGGAAACGCGAGCGGAGCCCCGAGCCCGCGGAGCGCGGTTCCCGCTGCCCGCGCACCCTCCGCGCTGCCCGGGCGCAGCGGTGCGAGGGGACTGCGCGGGCTCGGGAAGCGCTCGTAGCTGTGATTTATGTTTTTGTATTTGTTTGTTGCACTTAAAACTGAACGGTGAAGGGTGGGGAGGAGGGGGAATTACCGGTTTCCTACACGCCTTTGCTGTGCACACTGCGAGTTATTTGTTTAAGCCTAACACAACACAAACGAGACATAAACACACACGCACATTTTTTAAAAAAAGGCTCCAGATGTGCCCTTTTAAAAAAATATTCTAAGTAAGGGAAAGGGAAGAAAAAAAAAGGAGGGGGGGACAAGACATCTGGACAGCAGCAGCAGAATCTAAACAAAAGTGAGTGCTGCTCACTCGCCTTACCTGTGAAGTGGTGCTGTAGGGGTATCCGAACTGAGAGAAGGACATAGTTGCTCCTTATTTTTGGACCATAGGCAATATTTTCCCCCCAAGATCGATTGTAACTAAACCCTGCTTCAAGATGCACCTTCTCACACACACATTTCCACGTATGGCTTTTTTTTTTTTTTCTCAATTATAGATGATTGCACTTAAGAAAAGCAGCCAGACATCTGAGGCGGGGGGGTGGGGGAGGGAGGGAGGAGGTTGGTGCCTGGATTAAAAAAATAGGCTACCCCCCACTTCCCATCGCTCTTAATAAATATGTTTGTATAGAGGGAGTTTAAAAAGCCGCCCCACATGTATAGAGAGTTTAAGTGCAAGGGGGCTTTTTCAAAGAGGGGGGGAAAATCACGTAGGGCTTGCAAGATACGGAGCTTGCTTGTATTATTTTCTGCTCTATAGGTCTTTAGCGTTCCTCGGTGGGCGAGGAGCGGGCTGACGTCACGGCCCTGCCGGCAGCAGCGGCAGCGGCGGGCAGGAGCCGGCAGCGCCCCGCGCCCGCTCCCCGCACTTGTTCCAGCTCCGTTCCGCGTTGTGTGTGATGCACGTCACAGGCGGCACTGGGGGTGCCTCGCCGTTGGTCTTTTTTCCCCTTTATTTTTAAACACGATCAAAATTTGTCAAAGGGGAGTAAATATCAAGCGGGGACATCGCGGCAGCCGCCAGCCCCAGCGTGTCCCGGCCGCCGGGCAAGGGTGGCGGTGACAGCGGCGATGCCGAGCGCACCCAGGGAAGCGGCTCTCGAGGGGGGCCCGGCCGATGCAGCCCCCCGGCCCTTCTCGCTGACCTCGCCCCCATTCTCAGGGCCGGGCGCTGCTGTTCAACTCGGCCCCGGTCCTGCACCGAAGCCGCCTCGGCATCGCTGCCCGTCGCGGCGGCCCGGAGAGCGGGAGCGGGGTCAGAGCTCGCCCCGCACAGCGTACGGCAGGGCAGGGGCCGGGACAGAACACGGGCCGCAGAACACGGGCCCGAAGCCCATTCTCCAAGGAGTCCCGAGCCCCTTGTTCCCCCTTAGCCCCGTGATGGTCCCTCCGGGAGCGGGGGCCGGGGCGGTGGCAGGTCAGCGGGGCGGTGATGGATGGATGGCTGCCTGCAGCCCGGCCGGCCCGCTACCGCCACGGCGCAATTGCATCAATTAACAAATGGAAATGCCCTTGTTTAACCAGAGACTTACATATTGAGAATTTGCCTTTGAGGCGAGATCACCGGGAGGTAAACCGGGATTTCCCCCCAAGAGCCTGGAGCTGCCAAGGTGCTCCCAGGCCTGACAGGGCTCGATGAATTGCCAGTGGCAATTCATAAAGAAAAAGAAAACCAAATAAAAACGGGCGGCCCGGCGGCACTTGTCCCGAGCACGGCGGGGCCGCGTCCTGTGGAACCGGCGGCCAGCCCTGGCAGCCTTGCCCGTGCCCGTGTCCGTGCCCGCCCCGCCGGAGCCGCTCCGCTCCGCCCCGCTCCCCGACGGGTGGCGCTGCCGATCCGCGAGCGATGCGCGCTGGCCCGGCCCGGCCCGGCCCGGGGGCTGCTCCCTATGCACACCCCAAACCGGGCGGCCCCTGCCCGGCCCTGCCCGGCCCTGCTCCGCCCGCAGCCAGCGAGCACAGCCGCGACGGCCCCGCCGGTCCCTGCCGGAGCTGCGCGCTGGCCCCGCGGTCCGCAGCGTTGTGGAACGGGCTGCCCGCGCCGTCGGGGATGCTGGCCTTGGGGCCGGAACGACGCGAAGGGAGCGGGTGCCCGAGCCGCGTCCGCCCCGCCGGGGAGAGCGGAGGGGCCCGGGGCTCAGGGCCGGCTGTCACAGCTCTCTGTTCCGCCCGCAGCCTGGCGAGACGGAGCGCTGTAAAGCCCAGCCTTGTCAATTGTCGTTAACAGGGGCAATAACTTGAAATTCATTAAAGAACACCTTTGGGTAACATTACTGCTAATTATTTAATTGCAAGAATCCCTATGGGGAAAATTATGCTAATTATAAAGTAATAAAACCACTTGTTCTAAAGCACTTAATTCAGCAAAATTTAGTCTTTTCACCAGAACGCTTTGTATGTTATTTGATGGAAGAAACAACAAGAGGCTGTGTGCTCATCCTGCCTGCGGCTCAGAGCCCAGAGGAGCTGTCGCTGGCAGTGTGTTTGTGCTGGCAGGTTGCATGCAGGGCTCTTGTCCTTGCTGAAGCACTAAAACTGGGGCAGAATTCACTGTACAAAAAAAAAAGGATTTTTATAACAGAGATCATGCAGATCAATACAAACATTGCATTTCCCAATCTTTACCACGCACAATCAACATGAGAGCAATTCTGTTGCCTGTCAGGTATGTTGTAGCTGAGCTGAGCTTTGGGAAGTGGCCTTTCCCAAGCTAGCTCTCTCCACTCACAGCACTCTGCCCTACGGAGATGTTTCAGCAGCATACTTTTTTCTAGACACGCTCAAGAGCCATCCAGATGACCCCTTTAATTGCCCTTACAACCTGGGAGAGTGAATGGCATTCCTATTAACAACTGCAAGTTCTGCTGTGCTCCCCAGCTCTTTAGGAGGACACAAACTCTGACTCTTTGTGTTCTGAGCACTGCCACCATTCACTCAGCCTGTCCATCACTGAGCCACCCTACTCTGCATGTCAAAGCTGCCAAAACATCTTGCTGTGATTTGTAAATATTGGCATAAACCTTCTGTTAACAAGTTCCTGAACCCGGCTTGGCAGAGGGTGGCTTTGGGTTGGAATGTGCAATTTGCCATTTTTGTCATTGCAGGGAATCAGCTTCAGCAGCCCAATTTCCATTCTGCACATACACCATGTCTCAGAGAGACAAGTGATGCTGTACATGGTCACTGCAGATCTTTCTTTCTCTAAATCTGTGTCATCTCTCTCCTGCACACAAGCATATCATCCCACCCGCCCCCACAGCGTGCATTCCCTTCACCCAGTCATCCTGGTGAGGAGTGTGTGACTACAAACACGAGCAAAACCAGAAAATGATCTCTCTTGATTCACAAACTTTTGTTCTTGAAAGAGAGGACTGCGAGGCTTAACTGTAAACATTTCTGCAAGCAGTCCTTCTTGAGGCGAGGCAGGAGTTCAAATGCAGCCAACAATGCGATTTTTGATGCTTTTAAAATCAACATCATTTGGTTTAGCTCTGATACTGCTTTGCTCGGGAGGTAATTGCAAGGGGTGAAAGTGACAGTATGTGCTTCCCACCGATGCAAATGCAGCTGCTGATAACTGCAAATGAAATAATAGGTTAATTGAAATAAGCAGGGGAAGAAGAAAGCAGCTTCAAAAACATGGAGCGGAAGTGTGGCTGAGAAGAAAGTGTCTTTATATTTTAGAATACAGGGGGATTTTTTTGGCTGTTGCTTTTTTGTACTGAGAAAATGAAAATTCTTCAAGTCCATGCATGAATAAACAAGTACAGCTGGGCAGCCTAATACATAATTTATACAGATCAGTCACTGCAGATTTAACTGAATAAAGCCAAAATGAACACTAATTGTTTTGACAAACTAAAATAGTGTATATGATGGCTTCTTGTGAAGCTTGCTGGTACTGTCCTTATCTCAGTGGCTATTTTCAAGACTGATTTCTGCATGAGGGGTAGAAACATATAGAGACAATATAAAGATTAATATCTTATGGAAGATAAAAAAAAAATAGTTGCTTAACATACAAGCAGAAAATAGAAAGAACTGTCTTCAGGAGAGAGAGGAGAACTGGCACAGTGCAGTGTGGGACCAGAGCTGATTTAGGGGGTGAGGTATTGCTGAGGTAATGGGTGGTACCCTGTTGGCTGAAAGCTAAACCTGAAAGTAGTATTTTGTTTTTGTCACATTTGAAATACATGGGGAATAAATTTGCCTTTGGATACTTGTCTTCTGAAAGTGGACATCCAAAAAGTTGTCAGTGAATTTCTGGGCAGTTATGTATGTAGGCTCATTAATCTAAGAAGCTACACACTTTTTGGTACGTGCAGAGTGAGAGAAATACAAGGCTGGGGCTTTGCTTTGCTTCTCCAAACTCTCTCATTGGAGAGGCTAAGTGAGAGCAATTTAAGATATCATTTGGAAATAAAGTAAGACACAGACAAAGGTAATAATGTTCACAGGGGTCCCTAAGCACCATTCTGCGTGGGTTCCTTTGTGTGACACTGAGCTGCTTGTTTCTCACAGTCCTCTGCAGGGGCCTCCCTCTGCCACCTCACCCTCCCCCTCTTCTCCAAGGACTGGCAGCTCCACTTGGCTCCCAGCATCACTTCCATGATGATCAGTGGGTTTGCTGAATCTCAGATTATCACCATGTTTGCTGTGATTAAGTTTTGGGAAATGGCTGTAAAATTTACAGTTGGGTGAGTGTCACTGGAATTGGAGGATGGTGGGACCCAGAGCTTTATTCTGGACCATTCTGTGCCAGGTGGAAGCTGGACATGAATCTTTCCCAGGCTCTGGGGTGGTATTTTCCTGGGTCTGGGGCCATCACTGACTTGTGATCACCCCAACTTGTGAAAACATACTTTGCTGATGAGAAAACACTTCTTTTGTAAGGAGTGCTCCACATCTGGGTAGTTGAGCACTTCTGTACTGGCTTTCTTCAGGTTATCTGTAGATTATTCTGTAAAGTACAGATTCATCTACGCAAAGATACATCTACACAAAACCTGTGAGAACTTCACCTCTGAAAGCTTGTTTGCCTTTGCTGGGATGTGGGTTAGTTTATGCCAGGAGACTTAGGGCAGCTCTCATTCAGTCTGAACCCTCTGTGGATTCAGTTTCCAGTAAAATCAATAAAGAATTTTTTAATTTTTTTTTTTGTGGTGAAGCTGGTCTGACACATCATGAGCAGGGTTCACCATTAACCACCCAGCTGTGTCTGTGCTCTCATGGCCTTTGTATCAGCTCGTGTGCAGTTGGTGTGAAAGAGTCATGTGGCTGATAAACTGTAGGGTTTTAATTTAGCATCACCTTAGGTATAGTTTGTCATTTTTGTCCTGTGGCAGTGAAAGGCAGTTTTATTCC